AGGAACAGGCATAAGAATCTGCCAGCTAGATCAAAGAGTCTGAATGAAAGCCAGGATCCTCACAACTCATCAAGCCTTGCTTACAGCAAATAGCTGCAAAACAATGGCAAAGTGCCCACTCTCTTCCTCATACTGCTTCACAAGGAGGATGACAACCCACTACAGTCAGTTACTCCACTAACTCCAGCAGCAGAATTTGCATGATGGATATTTAACCCCATTATAGATCCTTGTGCCTTTTAGCAAGATACAATATGGCAATTTCTGGGGGAAGAGTTTTGTTGCTTCCTACCACTTATTTCAAAGAGGTAGCAGCCCACATAGAGACAGATGCAAAGAGCAATTAATGAGAAACTTTAAATTTACGTAATGCTAAAATTCAGGCTCCTGGCTTGACAGTTCAGGATCAAATTTCAAATCTTCCTCCTCACTGAAAGTCAAAGGCAACTGGACAGGGAAAATATAAAAAGTACACAAAAACAAGATCACAGTGGGCACCAGAAATTAGATGACATTTTCAGCAGTAATTTTTCAGTGGAATAGCTCTCACCTGGAGAGAAAAAAAGAGAGAGAGAAGAGTATCCCACATCTTTAAAGTGTGTTTGTGTGAATAAATATATTAACAATCAAAAGGAATACAGTGCCTTTTATCGATGAGCATAAATCTGGCAAGCAAATGAAGTAGTCTGCCTTCAAATAATAGGTTTTTAACAGCATGGATCGTGCTGAAGATTAGCCATGTCTATACAGACATGCCTGTAAGCAAATGCACTCAAGCACTGGCCACCAAGTGCTTTCTTAACTGGAAGGTTTTGCCTATCCAAACATCAGGTGAAGAGCCAGCATTAATAGTCAGCTCCAGCCCACTCTTTTTTCACAGCAAATAGCCAGCAAACCTTAAAATATATATATATATATATATATATACGCTATTTTCAGAGGCTCTTTATTCTAGTATTTTCTGACAAATGGTATGTTGCACAGATGTAATACAGAACTAGGTGACTAAATTTAAGCACTGTATATGGATATTTAATAGGAAGATGAACCAACCATAATGTTCAGATCTCCCTGTAAGATACTAATATAGTTTAAATTCAGAGAAAATGGGCATAGAAAGCGCTGTTCTTTTCATCACTGGATTCTACATGCTCTGGTCTCTTTTACTTCCACTTCACACTGCTGCAGCAAATCTGACTGTGGATATTATGCTCACAATTCACAAGAACAGCTGACTGAAAGATGTTTTGGATAGCTATAGTAGCTGCAAATATGCTGTCTTTGTGATCTTTCTGTTTTACTTTCATGCTCACAGTAACCAGTTTGTTTTAGCTTGTGAATCCTCCCTTTGTTACAAAAAGAAGTCGTGATCAGTTGAACGGCCTGCCTTGTCCCCGCAAGGCTTTTGCTATCTCCCTTAAAAATCCTCAATCTGAAAGCGAGTCTTCTTTCTTCTGCGACAGTACTGACTGTCCATATATGTTCTGTTTGCAGTGTAAACGTGTATTATCTCTTGTTCCCCAGTTTTTCACTTAGGCAAAATGCATTAATATTCAGCCTCCAATACTTACACAGTTTTGCAAAGCCTACCCACACAGGAATGCGCAAAATCAATCTGTCATGTATACAACTACTATTATGAGCTAAATAGAAACAAAGTATTTAAGAATGGAGTCCAAGTTGATAAAATCCTAATTATCAGGTAACCAGCCATCACATAGAGTGTTTCATGTACACCCACAACTTTCTAGTCTGCAAAGCTCATTTATAGTTATCACCTAGGCTGTGCATCAGGATTACTAATAAAACTCAACTTTCAATATAATTTTGAAATTGAATTTTTAGACTTTTACACTGTTTTTAAACTTCTTTCTGAAAACAGTGGTGTCCTGATGAATAATAAAAGCCCAAGTAGTTATAAAGCAGCTATCACAAATAAAAGAATCATACCTAGAACCTCCTTCTTCCTTCTGCCCAAGCATTCCAAGCTATGAAAACAAAAAAAAAGTAAGGGATAAAGAATCACAGAATTGCACAGAATCACATAATTGCAGAGGTTGGAAGGGACCTCAAGAAATCATCCAGGCCAAATCCCGTTTGGGGCACCTAAAGATTAGGCACTGAATACTCTGGTGACAGCCAATACAAGGTGCTAATTCAGGACACGAGTTTAAGTTTCACTCTTGTGTACTTGATGCTTCCTTCTGCCCAGGTTTCATAGCCTTGAGCTTTTAGGTACTCATATTTACCTAACTCAGACAAACCATTCTCAGAAAATAGAATGGTACATGTTACATTTGCTTATGAGTTTATCCTTCATTACAGAAAGATAAGAGATCTAAGTTTAAATTATCTTTCTCATTGACTAGGAGCAACATAAATCCCACACCCACTTGCATCCACAGTGAAGTGTATTGCTCTTTTCCAGAGGGACAAGGCCAGTGAATCAGCTGGGATTGCAGTGTCAAGAATCCCAGCCAACTGCCTCAACCTCCACAGGAGACAACAGCCATTTCTTGACTAGTAATCCCTTTTGATCTAAAAATCAAAAGTGGTCTACATTGCACCAGCAGCTGGATGGCATGGCACAGTTGGAATGGATATGCTAGAAATCCAAATTATTTAATTGCTGAATCACAGATAATCACTGTCCTTTAAGATTAAAAAATTCCATAGCCAAAAGATTATTTTCCTGAACTGCATGCACTTAGGATATTTTTCTAATGTATTCAAGTCAGTCAGGGGCATGATTCTTTTCATGCTCCCATTTAACACATACGTGTAGACAAAGTGTAAAGTGGAACCTGTATACAGTGGAAAGCTGTATGTATTTATTTATTATACTTTCAAAAGACATTTCCTGAAAAATAAACAGTTATGAAGAGCCCAGAAATGCCATAGCTTGTAAAAAGTTTAGTTTGGAACATGCCATATTCTATTCACAATGAAAGCTAACCAAATAAAATGCAAATTTAGCAGATTTCACTGAGGAGGCAAAGAAACTTGGTTAACATCAAATATAGTGGTCACTAATCCCATTTCCCCTTCCCATCCAAGTAAGAAAAATATTTAAATTCTCCAAGTGGTAAATTCAAGCATCTTGAGCCCTGTTAAATCTTATAAGTGAAAGTAAATTCTATTTCTGTGATTAAACAGAGAGTATTTACAAAGATCACAAATAAACTCTGTGCCTGAGATGCTCTTATTCTTCTTCATACCACTTCAGTACTTTTTACTTTAACACTGTTCAGAATTATGTTTCTGCTACAAATTTTTGTTAAAAATAAAAGGCAATCACTATAGAGTGTAAGGAAATTGAATATTTTAGGCACTAAATGCTGCAAGAGGATGCAAGTAAATGCATCCCTCGCCCAGGATTTCTCTGCATAATCTTTCTACCAAGATATTCTCTTATTTTCTTTCTCGTCATTATTATTTCTGAAGGAAGGATCGCTGTCCAAGATGATCAATGCAATGGGCTTGAGCCCTTTTCATCAATCCTAAGATAAATCTACATAGAGTTGCATCTCTACTTACCTGAAGTCAGCAAGACTGGAGACAGTGAGAAAATGATGCCCTAGGTGCTGACCACTGTCAGAGTGAGGATATTAGGACATACAAAACTGGGTACATGGGTAAACTAATCAAATGGACTTCACCTCAACTCAGCAATGAACCAACTAATGCCATGAGAACACAGTTTAAGACTAACTTATAAGTAACCAACTTATCCACTAACATCCTCAAAATAACCTATGGTTAAAGTACAAAAAGAGACACCATAATTTAAAAGCAAAGAGTACTGAAGTATTTATTCATGATCTAAATGAGAAAACAACTGCTAACTTTGAAAAGCAACACAAAAAAGAGGAAAACAATGTTGAAAACAATACAAGAAAACAGGACTTTTATAGCACAGATCCCACTGCTGCTTTGTGATATACATCTGAAGACTATGGAATTACACCACTGTATAAGTAAGCACAACAAAATGAAAATTCAGATCATCATTAATGACTGTCACTACCTTTCTGTGTGCAACAGCAGGCTGAGTACTCTTTCAGCCATTTGAAGATTTAGATCAAAACTCCAAATTACTGCTATACCTGTTTCTTCGAAATAGCAATATCAAAGTTCAATATCAAAGAAGAAAGTTCAAAGTTAAGATTGCTATTCTGTTTTATAAGTAATAAAAACATATAAATGATGAAAATATCACAGAAAATAAGTATATGTCCTTGAAAAATCAAAGTACACTACCTTGTTTAGCAGTGAATTACAGGTATTTTTAACACAGTAGCTCAAGATTCTACAGGAAACAACCACTTCATGGATTCTAGTTTTTAATTTTAATAAGCATTAAAAAACCACAGGAGTCAACAGTATATTTTCTACGTTTGTGCCTGTGCCGCATAAAGTACATTTAGAAGGAGCAGTAAGAACTTTAAATAATTGCACACACAGTCCAAAAAGATGTGCTCAAATTAATCCTAACTCAATAAAAAGTCAAACACATACCAACCTTTCCATGAATAAAAAGTCACAGCTACCTGTCCCACACTTTTCAGGCCAAGTGATATAGTGTGAGCTTGTCTCCAGTATAGCCAACAAAACAAATGGCCTAGCAAGTCAGCAGCACCCCACACTCCATTAGCCCCGTTCAGAATGACAAATCAACTGTTTCTAAGTTGCAGCTGCAGAAGCTATGGTCTGAATCTGCAGGAAGACAGTCACTTTGGGATAAAGACAGAGATGTTACCTCTTCTTTATGGCAGGGAAGGAGCCTACACGCCAGGACTTACTGCAGTTAGCAGACTGAGCTCACATATTAGCTTCCTCCACTGTAATTTGTCTGACGATATATTAAGGTGCTAAGAGCCTTGCTATTTGGAAGAGTGCATAATTATTTGCTTTTTTAGCCTTCCAGATTTACAATGAACTGCCAAAAAAAAAAAAAAAAAAATTGGGAAAAGAAAGAAAGAAAGAAAGAAGAATATTACCTGAAGGCCCTCTATGGCTAACCTAAGCATACTTGGTGTGAGCTTGGAGGCCTGCTTGAAGGTGAAGTTGCTCCAGTCTATAATCAAAACAAATCCATTCACTTGAAGCTCAGGGTCTTCTATCATGGCTTCTAAAGAAAGAAGTATGGCGCGCAAAATATCCACCAATGTGTACCTGTGAACGTGAAAGCAAGAACTGGTTAAGCCATGTGCATCAAGGTATGGTGGAAGTTCTGAGCATTCCTCCTTTGCACTGCTTATCTAGAGTCCAACAGCATATATAACTTCAGAAGTCACAGATATGTAAGCTTAGGAAGGTCTCAAAAGCTTGGTGAGTTGACTTCATCCTCTGAGTCATGATTACATATATATGGACCATCAGCCAACCAAAAGAAGAATACAAGAATATGAAACACCAAAAGCAAATTTGAACTTTTTTCTAGAAGACTGCCTAATTAATCTGTGTATTATCTCAAATGTCTGTACGAATGTATATAAACAAATGGTATTTTCCTGAAATTATATCAAATCTGAATCTAATACCAGAAGTCTGGACCCAAAGTTTCCTCCTATATTTTTTTCCAAATAATTGAAATAATATCCTTCACAAAATTACCCTATTAAAAAATGGAATTTCCACATGCTCCTCTTACCAATAATGTTTTCTCTTAAATCTACAAAGAAGGCGGATCTGTAATCAGCCTCAAAGATCTCAAAAGTAGAAAGTAACATACAATAGGGTTGGAATGCCTCTGGGACTAATAGCCTTTGTCTGGTGTCTCTGGTCCTTTCAATAAGGCCCTGTGACAGCATCAAACACAGAAGTTCTCAGTGTTCTGAACTTTCAGAGAAATCTCCACCATATCATATATCCAGCTAAAAGTACATATGCCTATTTCAATATTGCATTAAATTATATTAAATGCTACTTCTTTTAATACAGTGTGTGCACTGTTCCATTACACACAATCCTTTTGAAAGAAGGAAAAAAAAGACAAGTGATAGCCATCTGATCTAGCTAACTTCTCACATTTTTCCATGTAGTTTTGTTTTAGCCTAGTAAAACTTGAGGAATCTCCTGACTACACAGTCCCAGGAAAGAGGATAATTAATGTCAGACTAACTCAAGTCAACAAGAAAAAGCTTGTTTTCCTCTGAAAAGAATAGGGGATGCATTCTTTACTATGATATTTCTCTTCATTTTAAAAACTCTTACTTTGATTTGAATTTGGTTTGGTTGACTAGGATAAGAGTTTTCATATTCTCTTCTCTCTATTTTCCACTTTTCTGAGAAGTTACTTTTTTCTAATTTTTTACTGTTCAAAGATCTCACATTTGCAGGTAGTTTTGTATGCTCCCTTTTATTGTTCAGATTTTTCCAGTAAGGAGAGAGAACTGCAGAAGAAAAAATCTTCTCTGTAATTTCCCTATGGAAGTCCTCAAAATTCTGAAATTCTCTATTTCCCTTTGGCAAGAAAAAAAAAGAAAAAAGAAAAAAAAGGCCACTACTGAAAATGGAAATTTTTCCACAGGGAGATCAAAGAGCTGTAATCCCAGGACCCCACAGTACCCTTGCAGAAGGTACAGTGAAGCAAGCCTGGGTAAAGCTTCCCATGGGCCCAGTTGATGCTCTCTCCCTCTCTCCAGGCAGAACAGTTCCCCTAGCCCAATTGCTACATGCAACATCCATTTGGGAGGCAAAAATGCCAAAGTTGCTGTTGATGTCTCTGAACAAGCCAACGAATATCCGCAACTCTGTAGTGTAAAAAGTGACTTGAGGAAAAATGAAATCATCCATCATCTCTTTCCTAACCAAAGTGCAAGTGAAATGAGATATGTTGAGGGTGTTCTGCAGCAGGAAGGCTACAGAAGGTTACACTGGCACTAAAATGGTCATAATACACCTTGAGTCACCAGTTAACCTATCTGCTACAGCACAGGCATGCAAAGACATTGGGGGATGCCTGATCAAGTACTGAAGTTCCCCTGTATGGTCAATGTCTTGTATAACTGCCAGCATTAGGATCAAAGCACACTTTGCCTGAGGGGGTGAGGTACACAGCATTGTGTTTAGGGTCAGGGGCAGGGCAGGAGAGTGGCCAAATGCCTTCGAAACCAGTGGGGCATGTCTAGTATTTCTTAATATAAAATTAGATAGAAATACACCCTGTAAGAGATCTTCCAAGAGATCTTCTCCATAACAGGGGCTTCACCAAGCAGGAGGCTACTGGAAACACCCAACTTCCAGTCCAAGATTCCCAGTTTCCTGCAATAGATCTCTAAACATTCTCCCTATGGGACTTTAGGAAGACATTGCATGCCTTAGATTAATGGCTCTCTGGTGGCAAAAGGCTGCTTTGCTTTGTTTGATCAGTTCTGTAAACAGTACATCTTTATATATATATATATATATATATATACACCTGAATTATATATGTATATATATGTACCTAATAATATCCTGAAATTGTTAAAGTCAGTGGGAAAACTGTCAGATGTCAATGAGGACTTCAGCCACCACAGAGAGTAACCAATAGCCACAGGGCTGGGTCTCCACATCTATATTATATTCACCATCACTTATTGCATGTTTGCTTAGTGTGAGAAATACTGTCTACAATGACAGTGACAATATTATATGTTTACCCAATGTAAAAGACAAAAGGTTGTTTTCTTGTTGAAAACAACATCCTGAAAAACAAATATCTAGCTAGAAGCAAGCAACAACTCTCTGTGTCAAAGGAAAGTATCTGAGGTACTCATTTAAGCCTAAAAGTCCACATTAGTTTTACACAGAGACTTGACACTGATAACCAAGCTTCCCCCCTCTAATACTCTTTAGGGCAATTAGCTGGAAATAAGAGTGATCTTTCATTCTGTAATGGACCTCCTCTTCTGCTTCTGATACATTACTTAAGTACAGTACAGAAAACCAGACAAGAAACACAAATCCATTAATGGCTATTTAAAGCAGCTTTTCTTCTAGACACATGCTGAGGTAAGCCAGAAATGTGAGCTTGGTGTGATAGATGAAATCTCAGGTGCTGCAAATGGCAAGCTGAGTACTGAATGTATCACCTGAACAATCCAAGCAAATGAAATATGATTAAAGAAACCATATTAAAGCTTTCACACAGTAGAGTTATTTGTGTACAGACTCATCTTAAATCCACTCCAGCCACATGTTGTCCAGCATTTCACCTCACTGCTACCTGTTCACATTAGCACCAGGATGCACAGGCTTTACCACAACATGTGCTCCAATCTTAGCTAGGCTTTAGGGGCATGAAAATCCCACATAAACAGAATCACACAGAATCACAGAATGGCGAGGGTTGGAAGGGACCTCAAGGATCGTGAATCTCTAACCCCACCACCACATGCAGGGCCACCAACCTCCCCATTTAATTCTAGACCAGGCTGCCCAGGGCCCCATCCAGTCTGGCCTTGAACACTTCCAGGGATGGGGCACCCACAGCCTCTCTGGGCAGCCTGTTCCAGTACCTCACCACTCTCTCTGTAAATAATTTCCCAGACATCCAACCTAAATCTCCCCTCCATAAACAGAAGGTGGAAAAATTTACTTGATTCAGATACACAAGAAAACACACATCAAGCAAACCTATGGCTATACCATTGCCTACAGCCAACCACAAGCTAACCCAAATGGCACTGAACTTCTTTACATAATCCCACACAAACTATCTGATACAGTCAATCTCCAAACAAGCACTGGAAATTTAACCAGTAGGTAGGATAACTGCAGTATTACCCTGGATAAACAACATTCTGAGAACCGGGAGCTGTTTTTCACAACAGCCATGTCATCTTACTGCTGCATTAGTTATTCCACATAGGGAATTGCTTCCCCATAATTAGCTCTGTTCCAGCCAAAACCTTGATAGGAATATTTGCCAAAATAATTATCATTTCAGCTTTCAGAGATGTGTGATGAAATGTACTTTGCACCTTCACAGCTAAAAGCTGAACTCCTGATCCTTCATGAATTGTGAGTCTCTGAAAAACTAGTATACCAGTGTGAGAAATATGCATTACTCTGCATTTAATAAATTATATTTCTGCAGAAATACAGCACCGAGAGCACTATGTAAAAGCTGATATAGAAATTGCAGCTGTAAGGTGATATTCAAATTACTGGTTTAATACAGGCTTTTATTTTAATATTTTGCAGATTACCATCAACTTCTACAAATTCCAAGTAGGTAGCTTATTTTTCTTAGAAAAAGCCTTTCTCTACATAACATAGTCTTAACACCCAGTCCTTGGGATTGCACTGCTGAAGCTTTCACGCCACATTGAAATTACATTCTATATAGATATAGAAATACAACCAATGAAAAGGGAGAAAAGCGGGATGAGAGCTACTAGTGACTGTGAAATAAATTTGGTACAAAGTGGCTCTGACTGCTTTTCTATACTTTAAAGCAAAAAGAAAAAAATATAACAGATTAACCTTTAATGTAAAGAGAACAAAATATGAAGAAAAGACACAATCATTTTATTCTTACTGATGTGTGTTAAGTTTAGGAGACCCTCATTTCACTCTGGTCCCAGTTCCAAGGCATTGGCTGCAGAGCTGTTGGAAGCAGGGTGCACTAGCAGCCCCACTGCAGTGCATGTCTTGAGGCAGCCTGGAGCTGAGCTGGGCACAGACAAGTCCTGCTTTATTTATGCCCACTTCAGTCACATTGCCTTGTTCCAGCAGACTCTTCCAGCACACTCTGTAGCTAGCAAGGTACCACTAATTCCTAGGATAATCTAGAACTCATGGCTAATTTATATGTATTTAATGTCCTCTATTTATAGAATCATGCTTAATTCAATGAAGAGCTCAGACAACTTTCTTAGCCTGGCTGCTAAAGAGAGTAACACAAGCTGAAAATACATCATCACATACATAATACACTCATAATGTTCCTTTTCTATGTCAACCCCAGCTTGAGTTCAAATGAGGTGGGGACCAGTGTGTAGATACACTCTGCTGCCTCCTGAAATGTTCTGTTCCAGTTGACTTTGAGGCAATGAGGCTAGAACGGCTTGACAAGTTAATAGCCATGCTGACAGCAATTCTTATAAATGTAAGAGGGCTACCATTTCTACAGCAACAAGGCCTACTAGAGTAATGCCTCACTGAGGCCTTGATTTGTCAAGAACAGAACAGCTCAAGCTGCTGAACATCTCACTCTCTTGTTATTTAACAGTACCAGCAATTTACAGAAAAGAAAAGTTCTTTGAGAATTATTTAAGGGACACAAACAGCATCAAAGTTTTCAAATGGTTTACAGGAAAAACAGTATGGAAGTAATTCTTGGTAGTACTTCACTACAATTTTTCACCTTTTAACTCTGCTACAGAAGCCAGTGTGGTTTCCAAATTGCCAAGAGAAGGACAAGATAGGGAGAACACAGGAGACAGAAGTCTCATGTCAAATCTAGCTGACAGCTGTTTTCAATACCAAACATCCTTGGTGATAGGTGGCAACTACCAAATTTTATGTTTAGACACATTTTGATTCCAGCCAGTTCACATTCAAATTCAACAACGGATAATCCAATTTGGCAGTTATCCTATTGTCTTAACTGCCATCCTACCCACAGTATCAAAAAGTTTTAAGTTAATTTGAGGATTAAAACTGGGTGGAATGATTATGTCACTCAAGGTGCAAACTGTTAACTAAGAGATAAATGACAAATCATTTGCTTGATTTTAAACCACATGTCTCTTGAATGTGCCAAACATGTAAGGAATCCACAACTTGTATTTTAATATCATCATTGTCTTGTGCCGTTGTGCCACTGTGGCTTAGAGGAGAAAGCTATCTGAGTCTGAGCCATCATCTCACTTCTAATCTACTGTTCTGGCTTAATATTTTCAGAATTTCAGTGAAAGAAGAGCCCTCAAGATCTACACAAGGTATACACACTCAGATTTCCTTGCTTCATGATCACTACATCACAGACAAGAACCATGGATTAGTGCACTTGTCTCCTGCACTTTCTAGGAAATCTCTGAGATAGCTAATACAAGGAAAGAGCTAAAGAAAATAGCATCAAAATGGACCAATTTTATGAGGAGCTTGTGTACAGATGCTACAAAGCATACTGAAGAACATGAACAGCAAAAGATCCTTTGCTGTGAGAGCTGAAGTTATTCATGCCATTAACCCAAAAAAACTTCACCATCTGGACATGCGAAGAAGTGGAATCTTCAAATGCAAATACACCCCACAAGCCACACACAGATATGAATCCATGACCTGGAAGCTCATATAGAAGGCTGATCCCACTACCCCAAGTGTCATCTTGGCACGGATGATGGAGAGGGAACAGGATCCCATTGGAAAGCTGTTGGGCTACTTGATCTTGATGCTTTATCCTTTACCTTTTTCTTCTTCTTTTTTTTTTTTTTTTTTTTTTTTTTGCTTTGTTTGTTTCAAAGTCGTGTCTGATTTAGTTGTTCAGAAGGAAGGACAGTTGGTACAGTTTTCAGGCCCTGCTTTAATGTAATGATTTAACAATGTGTAGACGAGCTTGTTTTACCATAGGAATTCTTGCCTCCCATGCCTTTTATTCTAATTGGAACAATGTAAATGGTAGAATACTGATGCTAAATAAATTACCTATAGCATGTGTGAAACTCATCTCAAAAAGAAGTCAGAACTTTTTATTTCTAATGGTTCCATACTGGCCATAATAAATTGTACACGTGATAAATTTGGAGGCTTGCTGTGCTCTATTTACTTAGTTTATGAAGCATGTAATGAGATCCTAACAAAACAAAGTTTGAAAAGGAATCCTCGCAGCATTGCTGTCAGAGGAGCACTGTTTACTTGCTGCAATACTTCAAATCAGTTAGAGCATGAGCTCAAGACATACTGCGCAGCAACTACAGTGTGCTCCCCACACAATACCCCACAGGTTCAGCTGCTGAACAACAGATAATGGAAATGGATAATTAGGAAAAAAGAGTGGCCTAGCTCCATTCCCAGGTCTGTTGTTGATGTGTTCTGAGCCTTGCAGCAAGCCACTCCCCACAGCTAGGCTCCAGGGCTCTCCCCTTTGTCTATGCTGTGGTCTCAAAATGAATCTCAGCCAGAGGAGAGCATGCCTGAGGCATGTGCTGCTGAGGGGTAGGAACTCTGCTGCAGACATGGCCATTGGGTATGCTGGTGGACCTCAGTCATTCTGCTGTTGTAAGATAAAGAATTGTACCAACAGCACTTCCAGAAAAAAATCACAGTAAATGTACTGTTGTGTCTGCTGGTCTCCTGCAATTTAAATATCAGCACAATCAAAATTAAGAAGAAAATAAAGTTATTCAATTCACATGGCAATTTTTTATATATATATTTTTTGAAGTGCTACTCTGTCTGAGCTCAAGTTACACAAAACCACAGAATCATAGGGGTTGAAAAGGACCTCAGGGGATCATACAGTCCACCTCCCCTGCTAAAGCAGGTTCCTTAAGGTAAGTTTCCAGTTCTTGGCATTCACTTGATTAAGTGCTGATGATCTGCAAAGTGTCACAAAGTTTCAGGAATTTTCTTCATTACTGAGAAATAATGGCAGTTAGCAGTCCATGCTATCTTAAACATGGAAAATTCTTCATGGTAGATGCATGATTTAATAAATGGTCCAAACATCCACTCCTCTGCTAACTCTTCCTTTGGTGATTTTAAGAGTTTGTACAGCTGTTTTTAAAATAACAATTTGACCTGATCCCTGGGAGGGACAATGAAGCCACTCACAGAATCCCCAGCCACATCACCCTGGCTCATCACTCATTGTCAGTGGCTCCATATGCCAGAAAACCACAGCAGAGTGAGGATCTGGCCCCAGCTCTGCCCACCTCCATCCGTATTTCCTGGTCAGCGTGTTTGTGGGTGCAGTTTCAATTTGTGCTAGACAGCAGCTTCCTTATCCCTGGGTACAACCCAAGGGCTAGCAGGGGCAAGGAAGCTTCTCTGGCAGGCAGCATTGATGTGGCCACTCTATCTGGAGGAAGAAAGGCACAGCAGGCAGAGAACCACTCCAGCTGAAGCACCCACTATTAATGGGAGCAAAATGAGCCCCCTCCTACAGTGGCCATGGACAGCCTGTGGGAGGGCCTTGCACAAACACTTATACTTCTGCACCCATTCTGTCCACTATGGTCAATGTTTGTGTCCTGCCCATTTCAAAGCAGCTGAGGGAGGGATGACAGTGCTCAGCTTGTGTTGTCTGTATAGGACAGTGTGGGTGAAGGCAACTAGCAAGTGTTTCAGTTTTCCCACTAAGTGCTGCAGATCTTAAATCTGCATGCACTGGAGACCCTGGAGAAGCCTAGAGATGCAGTGCTCAAAGCTGCAGGTTTTAGAGTCCTCTCTTTATGGATGCACACACTTACATGTACTGAAGTCAAGCTGTGTTGGTGATTTACGACTGCAGGAGAAAATAGGCATGGCATCTGACAGTCTTATAATACCCAGCCAAAAGCTAAAAGAAAGGGCCCTAATGGTAGGCAGCTTTCTGGCCAGCCTGCCAAGTCATCTTCAGGCTACAGCTGTCCCCAGAAGGATAAGATTATTCTGGAGACTGCATCAGTCTCCTTCAACCTGCTACCAGAGCTTTGAGTGCCTGGATAATACCAGCAAGCAGATTCACACTAAGAGTAGCATGAGTGGGGAAAAGAAGTGGCTACTCTAACTTTCATCCTAGCATTTCCAAGTGGCTCAGAAAGGGCTTTCTTTAGATGAGGGAAACAATTCGGAGCCTCAGCTTCTGCACAGGCAAACTTTTTAGCTCCAAAACCATGATGGATACCCTTGATTTGCAAAGAGCATCTCCCATTTTGTCCTATTGTACCTGAGCAGCTATGTGTGTGCTGAAGCAGAGAGACCAGCACAATGAGTGCAGCCAGCCTTTGTCAGGGTTGAGCGCAGCATCTGCCATATCAACTTCTGTGGTGAAGGGGAAGCAGATGGGCATAAACCCCAAAGCACCTGACTGAGAAGAGCACCTGAGAAGCTCCCAAAAATTCAGAGCCTAAAGGATGAAAGGGCTGAAGAAGTGCTAAGTCATCAAATACATTTCTTTTCTTCCCTTACCTCCAGGCTGATGCCCAGCTCGTGTGTCCCACTGCCCACCCACACATTCCCTCTGCTCTGGCACAGCTTTTCCCACACATCCCCCTGGGGAAGAAGGGGTAAAGGCAGGCAGGTGGCCCCGCATTTACCTGCTCTGGTCCCAGTTGGCAGCAAAAAGGACGAGGATCTTCCTGCCATAGTGGTCCAGGTTGGCTAGCCCACCAGGGAAGCCGTCCTTCAGCGCCTGTTTGATGCCCGGGTCGGTGGCTTTGAAGCTCTTGAACATGTCCAGATTCTGCTGGCGGTACTCAAAGTACTGGGCCAGGAGGCGAAAAGCCTCGAAGTGTTGAAACTTCCTGGCCCGCAGGAACCGCAGGATGAAGGCATCATCGGTGCGAAGGAAGCCGATGTCCGGCCGGGTGATGACCATGTCCCGCACCTCCTGGATGTCCTGGTGCAAGGTGTCGGGGTTCTCGTTCAGCTCCAGCCGGGCTTTCTCCAGAGTCTCAGGGGAGAGCCCTGCCTGTAAGTGAGTCATGGCGCTGCCCTCCTCCTCCTCCTCCTGCTGCCGCCCGCGCTCCTCAGCCTCCCGCACGCCGGTCCCGAGGCGCGGAGCCGGGCACGGCAAATCGCCGCTCCCCGCCGCCGGGCCTCGCCCCGCCGTTCTCCGGCCCGCTCCGGAGGTTCCCGTGTCCCGGGGGCTGCTGGCTCCCCCCGCCGGCACCGCGACGCCCCCGGCTGCTGGCTGAGCCGCGTTATCTCTCCCGCATAGCGCCCTCCCCGCGGCGGGCTTCGCCGGGCCGCATCTTCCCCGCAGCCTCTCAACGGAGGCGCCGCCGCCGCCGCCGGGGACGGGGCTGCGGGCTGACTGCTGCCGCTCGCCCCCGCTGCCGGTGCCGAGGAGAGGGCCGCTAGGCAGGGCGAGCGGAGCCAGGGGCTGCTCCCCTGGCCCGGGGCTGACAAGGGAGCTGCCCTCCCCGCCGCGGCACCATCTATGGGAAATCAGCTCTCGCCCCGCTTCGGAAGCTTCTTCGTGGGAGGGAAAAAATAATAATAAAAAAAATCACCGAGCCAAAAAAAAAAAAAAGGGAGGGGGGAGGGAAGAAAAAACCCACGAGGAGGAGGAGGCAAACCGATCTGCAGGTACTTCGCTGGTACCGGTGCCCAAGAGCAGGCACGGAACCTGCAAAAACGAACGGAGCCTCGGCCTGAAGGATGCTCGTCCCCCCTGCGCCCTCCTCCGCTCCACGCCCCGGCTCCCAGATGGCAGCAGCCGGAGCGGTCTGCGCGGCCCCGCCTTGCGCACACGGACGGACAGACGGACGGACACACGCCCAGGCAGCAGATCGCCGACAACGCCAGCGGACGCCGCCCCCGCGGACAGGATGGGGAGACGCGAAGGCTCAGCCTCTGCCCGCGACGTTGCGCGGAATTTGCGCCGGCGCTGAATGCTGCAAGATGGAGGTGTTGCTGCGGGAGGGGCCGCGCAGAGCTCGGGGTGCCATCTGCGGCCGGTGTGCTGCCTCCAGCCCTCTCGGGGCGGCATTTCTTAACGTGCAGCGTTGTAGGGGTAAGAGCCTGAGCTTGAAATACAGCAGCCTTCTGTTTTGGCCTCGCGTGTCTTAAATTGCATTGTGTTGCAATGAGCAGAAATACCGTGCTCCTGTATATTGGAGATGTCAGTGAGGAAAAATGCTTTTTTGATGAAGAAAGTTTGGGTCTGCGGTCAGATTTCAGGGAAAAGTTCCCGCTGCAGAGCATCTGACCTTTGTCTGAGGGACTGGACCTTTCTGATGCAAATGTGTCTGAAAATGAGGCGAAAGGCTCAGGGAAGCCTCCGCGTGCGCCTCCTCCTCCTGCCGGTGGGAAGCGCAGCGCCTTGGTGCTTCTTTCCCGAGATGACATCGCTAAAGCACACAGCCTGAATTATTGAAAAGGCACTGAAATCACTGATCCGTATGCAGAGTGCAGATGGGAACGAGACCAGCGGGAAGTATAGGCTGAGTTCTAAGACAAATAAAGATACTCATAAAAACAATTAAATGGTGCCCTGCATTTTCTGCAAACCTTCAGGTGGAACATATGAGGTCAGCGGCAGGAGGGGCTGTTGGCAGCAAGTGTGGGGCTGTGCCGTGAGGAGCTGTCAGATGGCAAAATCATTACTCATCAGGGGACTTCAAGGAGGTTTTGTTTTCACAGGGTTCTATGGGGTCTAACAATTCTTCACCAGATCCCTTGTGCCAAGACAGGTTTCACCTATTTCCTCACAACAGCCCAATCTCAAAATACTTACAATATGAGTGGCTGGGAGGGCAGCAGAAACAATCCTTCCTGGGCAGCAATGACATGGTCTAAAGGTAGGCCAGTGTGGGAGAGCCGCTGTTTCTTCCATCCAGCTGTACCATGTACTGTGGGATGCCACACAAGAGAGGAAGGAGCACGGTCCAGCTTAGGACCGAATTGTTCTCTAGAGATGCCAACTCTTTATGGGAGGGGGAGCTGAGGAGAGGCCTCATAGCAGTCTACAGCTCCTCACGAGGGTAGTGAAGGGGCAGCTGAGCTCTGCTCTCAGGTGACAGCAGTAGGACCAGAGGGAACGGCATGGAACTGTGTCAGGGGAGGGTCTGGTGAGTGTTAGGGAAACGTTCTTCACCAGGGGTGGTCGGGCATGGAACCACTCCCCAGGACATTGGTCATGGCCCCAAGCCTCCAGAGTTAACGAAGTATTTGGACAATGCTCTTGGACATATGGTCTGATTTTTGGGTGATCCCATGTGGAGCCAGGAGCTGGACTTGATAATCATTCTGGGTCCCTTTCAACTTGGGATATTCTTTGATATTCTCTGTTTCCTAAAATGCTTTTAAAGTAGCTTCCTTATGTATACATGCAGTTGGTAATTCTTAGAGTGGTCATTGCTCCAGAAAGAGTTTGTGCCTTTTTTGTTGTTGTTTTTATTGTTTTGTGCCAGTTTGTATCATTGTCAAGTCTTCCTTTTCTTTCACTCTCGCTGTCTACCTGTATATTACTCACATATTCTTCTGAGAGACACTTTGAGAGTAGCTGTTTCCATTTGCCATAGGGAACCACTGACCAGGTTTTCCCTGTCATCGTTTCCCCTTTCTGATGCTACTGCTCTGCCATTTCCTCTGTAACAAAGCTATAAAAGAGTAGGTCATGTGACAAGTGCCTCAAATTCACTTTGTGCCAAGCAGACTGTGGGCATTCATCCTGAAAAATCAAGCCCATATATGACTTCCAGTAACACATTCCTTAATTTGTTTTTTTCTATTACAAAGGGAAACATACGCACATAGCAGATTTTCTCATGTATTTCAGTACACAAATGTAGTGAAGAGGGAAAAAAAAAAAAAAAAAAAACTGAGCTGGCAAAAGTTGAAATATTAATAATTTTGAAATTACATAAAAAGTTAAATCAAAAGATTAAAATAATTTTTAAAAGTTAAGAAAATATATGGAAATTTATCTGAAATCTTTCATTTGCAGTTATCTTTTTGTTTTCCCTCTTCTTGACCAAATTAACTGATTCCAATCTTCACCTTTTCTTAAATAGAAAAAGCATGCACACACACACAAAAAAAAAAAAAAGAGGAAAAAGTGCAAAGGTAGAGAATTTTTTAAAAATCTGGAAGCAAATATGTTATTTCATTTTTTAAAATCCCATTTAATAAATTTCATTTTCAAAGAACAGATCAATTTCCATAAAAATGGATTTACTGATATAAACATTTCTAGCCAGTACTTCATCACATTAAAATGAAATTCAACAGCCACTAACAGAATTTCAAGAAAACGATTTTTTTTAGTGAATTTTGTAGTTGAATCATATGTCAAAATGTCCTCATCATGAATGAAATGGTTTACACAGCTCTCTCCTGATCTGAGTGGATTCAGAAGGATTTCATTAAGAAAAGTGCATGCAGCAAGGCAGCCTGAAGGTAGAGCAAGTCAGTGAAAGAAGATTTTGGTCATATTCTACCCAAGCCACAGTTGGGGCTTATTAAGATACTAACATTTTAAAAATATTTTGAAACTTTGTGTATAAAAGTATGAAAGATTTGTTTTAAGTATAAACAACTTGGTAGGAGCAATAAAATTGTCTTTATCATCTAGAAGCAGATCTACCAAACCATTTAAATAATATAATGAAGAAATATGTGTTTTCCAACATGTTGTGCTACCTAAGTCATGAGGGAAAAAAATGGAGCCTCTAACGCAGTTAAATGCAGCATCTTGATGGCACAGTGTAATTTATTTATTGTGCACATGCACTTTTCCCTCTGTGAAACAGCAGGGTATCTGAATAACACCATTATGTAAATCTAAGCATCTTTTCACATTTTCTTACAAACTAATATTTTTCCTTGATTTTGTATAGTTACAGTTTTCTGAATCTGAATCTTGCAATCCTATAAGCACTACGATTAAGCACCTGATTTGAAATAAAAATAAAACACAGATAAGGTACAAAGGTGTTCGTGTAGGTTGTACCAGGTTGATGATTGGCATTCAGAACAAAATTGTGTAAAATCAGTAATAGACTGGAACATTCAGGAACAAATATGGAATACAGGCATGAAGCTAAAAATTTAGGTCACTCTGAAAGCAATGCCTCTTATTTATTTTCATAGAAACTACAAAAAGTACAATAACACTGTTTGATAGAGAAAGTTCTCAGCTACAGTGAACTATTTGAACATAATCACCACCATTAGCCATGCATTTTCACCAGTGATGAAGAAGAGCCTGAATGCCATGCTTGTAAAAAATCTGCACTGGCAGAGGTGACTATTTCACAGCTGTTATGATGGCATCATTGCTAGGAAAATGCTGCCCACATAGTCCATCTTTCATCAATCTGAACAGATGGAAGTCAGAAGGCACCAAATCTATACAGTCAGTGTGGTAGGACAGCTCAGACAAGATGAGCAATGTGCTCTATGGTCTTCAAAGTGATGTGGGGCCTGGAGCAATCATGTTGCAAGAGAATGGGTGTCTTCTCTGCCCTGACTCTGGACAGTTGAGACTTAGCTTAGTCAGTGTCACAATGTGTAGCGGTCAGAGTTGATAGTTCCAGGAAATCTAGAAGGATCACTCCTTTGCTATCCCAGAAGAGTGCGCTTGTCACTTAACCTGCTGAGAGATGTGTCTTGAGCTTTTTCTTCAACAAGGAATTCAATGAGGAATTCACAAGTCACCACTTCATGAACAGCTGTTTTGACTCCGGCTCGTAGTGGTGATACCAAGTCTCATCCTCAGTAATCCTGTGATCCAGGAAACTCACTTTCAGCCTCATATTGGTTTAATAGGTCCTGACAAACTTGCATACAGTGTTCTTTCTGTTCATGTGTATATTTATGGCATCCACCTGGAGCAAACTTTTCAACATTGCCACCATTGTTTCCAATGCACTGAAGCCAATATTCAGCTCCATACACTTCCCTGATTGTAACCTGCCAGTTTGCATGAATGAGCTGATAAAAACATTCTTCATTTCACGGTGTGGCAGCTGTGCATGGCCATCTGGAATGTGGCTTATCTTTCACATCGCTGTCACCACTCCTGAAACGCCACCCACTGCCTCACCGTGCTCACATTCACTGTTTGGTCTC